TTTCTTCAGGAACAATTTTGTAATTCTTCTAAAACTGCATGAGGAAAAACTGAGGGGCATAACCTCTCAATGTTTTCATTTATGACAAAAATATACCAATGTATAGCTTGTGAAACATATAAGGATTACAACAACTGTGCTTAATTAAGAAATTATATATTCAAAACAAAGTTATTTTATGAGAAAATCAAGGAAAAAGGTCATTCCAAATATGGAGTGGAGTTTTGTATATTATGTGGATATACAACACAACCTTTTCAATTTTCTTCTTTTGTACAAATTAAAATGAACAATCGTGTCTTTAATAAATGACGTGAAATGAGATGTATAGACTTTTAAATATCTTGTTCGCGATAAGAGACATGCATTTAGTAAGATTTTAAGGGAATATTGCTAAATGCCCGGAATGGCGGAATCAAGTGAAGAGCTAGACATAACAAACCTTATTTCATCCAATATTACTTTGCAATATCATGTTTGCCAAAATTTCAGGCAAGGTTTTCGAAGTATTTATAGTTTTCACATTCTTTTTGAGTTCTTAACATCATGCATGCAAGTGCCTACAATGATAGCCTACGATGCGCTCAAATATATATAATCGAACGAGGAGATATTATATAATATTAGTGAAAGTAAATTTTAATGATATATGTAAATTGCTTCTTACAGAACAATAAAAAACAAACAAGACTGATACAAAGACTGGGTTGAAAGACTACGCGCTCACATTCTTTGCAAGCTATACACGTCACGCTGTGATGGGACGCTCATATTTTTTTAACGCAAGCGCGTCAATACTACTTTTTGCTTCAACATTAATTGCATGTGTAGAAGAATCTGTTATTTCAAAATTACGAGCATAATGCTGTTGCGGTAAAAATATACAAAAAAGTTCTATAAGAAACTGTAGGAATTTTGAAAGTTTTAATTTATAAGGAAGAGAGAAAAAGAATGAGTATAGTTTTCTTGCCATGTGGAGTTACCAGGCCAACTATGGAAAGCATATACGGTCACAACTGATAGGAACTGTGAAGTTTTTGTAAAGGGGGCTGACAATCTGTTGTATATGATCGCGTTTCCAGAACGTTTAAAACTTTTATTTCCTATAAATTTGCTAAAATGCATCACCACTTTCCAGTCATGCCGCATAACACTTTCAGGAGCACAAATGATGAGAAACGCGCCTTTCATTATATTCTTCGTAAACTTAATACCCGCCTTCGATCACAGTCCTCGTAAAGTAATTCACAAAAAGATTAAGATGTACATATCGAGAGTTAGTGTTACATACAGCGTGCGGTTCAAAATCGTATAAATTTATAGGTTGAAACGGAAACATTGATGATATCATTCCAAACGAACAGGTGGCACTGTTTTATTTCTTTGTTTACAGTGTACGCATTGCAGTTGTGTAGTGTAGCAACACAGTTCTATAGTGCAAGCCATACTACTGCATTGTAAAGAAACTCGTGAATATTATCCATCATGGATAATGAAACCGCCAAAGATATCTTGAAAAAATTGACCCAATTTACAAAAAGATTACATGAAGATAACGATTTTAGGAATACAGTAGCTACGGAACTATGCGAAATGGGTTATGTAGAGGGCCAGAACGTGAATAACGATGCTGCTGGAGAAGACAATCCTGAACTTAACGCTGAACAAGTGCACAATGCATTTGTTAAAGCTGTGAATATGTCCATAAACTACGTAGTTGACCTGCGTGAAGATGATCCCTTATTAAAGAAAAAATTGAAGAAGCTTCTAGTAGACACTCTGCCATCAAAGATCCAAAAGAAACAGATCAAATATTACTTGACAGACAAACTACTTGACCCCGACATTCGGAGCACTCTCAAGTCTCCTCTTGATTTTCTAAAAGAAGGTTGTATAAAGTCATCAGCCAACCAAACTCTCTTCAAGAAACTTATCGAATGTCAGTTTCGAATAAAATGGAACACTGACGCTGATGATGTTGAAATACCTGGACATCCAAAGCCTTTCAACTATTACGAGTTCTGTAATGAAGGAAAGAAGATATGGCCGAGAACTAAATTGAAATCACTGAAAAATCGGGTGCGTAGAACACACGTCTTAGTGCAGTTATTTCAGTTGCCAGTTGCAGACTTGTTGCAGGAATTGAGTTCAGATGATTTATGTCCTCCGGTTTATATCAGAACGGATGAAAATATGTGGAATAATTGGAATCCGACAAACAAGACGTTTGGTGAAACTATAAACACGGGTGAAGAATTAGCGGCCCCTTTCTCATGGATGAATGATTCTATACGCAGTTATATTCTTGACCAGGCTGAAATAATTCCTGATGCTGACAGTGGAGCGTGTCTTGACGAGCACACTCTTTATTGGGCAGTTATACACGACTCCGATTTCCAAGCTGGCGACGAATTAGAACTAAACGACATTGGACAAACACAAGTCTATGTTGGGAAAGCTGACAGGGGTATGAACGGACGATGGTTAGCAGGCCACTGTAAAAATATGATGGAATGTCTAGAAAGTATTCGCACAATGAGAGAAGTTGGTACATACGAGCCGCTGCTATTGAAAGACGTCCAGTTGATTGAAGCCAGACTAGTGTTGGCTAAACTGAAAGCTAATGAGAACAGCGCTCTGTTTGTGATGAAAACATTTAACCATGGTATAGCGGAAGCTAAAAATGCCTTTACGTTAGCACAAGAAGCATACGACGCAGAGGAAATACTACAAAACAAAAGGAGCTTAGATAAAGCGAAAAAAGCTTTAGATAATGCGAAGATAAAAGCTGAAAAAGGTCTCATAGAAGCAGAGAGCCGAAACATCCAAGGTCTGAGGATTCGGAAATTCACTGTACGCAAAGAGAGTAATTACATTATTAAGGACGTAAATTGCAGAGTCCGTCCCCGATGGCAACCTCTAGATATGAGGTATGGGATGAACAGCAGAAAATGAGACGGCTTTTCGTAAAGCAGACCATTATCACACCGACAGTGATGCACTCCATATACAATATGGAGAGAACAAAATAAAATAGAACAGTGAAGTAAAAGTATAGTTGTTGTAGAGTATTATGTTGTTTTGTTTTCCCTTTTATTTGAAAAATGTATTGAATATAAACTGTATAGGGTTCGCTTCAAAAGGAACAAGCGCTCATCTGGTGGACACAGATCAAATAGATAAGTGAACTGTTGTATTATAAGCAAATATAAGTTAGAAATACCCAAACTAGCATCAAAATATTGCTTTTTTGTTTCAATAAACGCTTTAAAGTTTTGGACATTGAAGTGACTCAGGGTTCGGATTCCCCCTCCCACTTTTCCTGAGGAATAATTTTGTAATTCTTCCAACAGTGAGAACAATTGAGGAACATAAACTGTTAATATTTTCATCTAGGACATAAAATATACCAAATCTGTTGCTGTCAGATTATCATAAAACGTGTCCAAAATGCATGAAAAATAGTGTTTCGCAGACCTAAAAAATTTCAGCCAACCGGACGAGTAGACAACCCCTCCACCCGCACTCGTACAAGCGACCGTGTTGTAATCAGAAATATATATCTCATATGTATATATCTGTTTCAGTGTATAGCTTGTAAAATATAAGGATTACAACAGCTGTATTTAATTAAGGAATTATATATTCAAAACAAAGTGATTCTAACTGAGAAAATCAAGGAAAAAGTTCATTCAAAAAGTTCATTCAAATCTTATTTCATCCAATATTACTTTGTAATATCATGTTTGCCAATTAAAATTTCAGGCAAGGTTTTCAAAGTATTTCTAGTTTTCACATTCTTTTTAACAGAGAGTTTTTAACATCATGCAAGTGGAACACAGTACGATGGACTCAAAAAACTATAATCGAACCCGCGCAGGAGATATTATATAATATATTAGAAAAAGTAAATTTTAATGATATATGTAAATTGCCTGTTATAGAACAATGAGAAACAAACAAAATTGATGCAAAGACTGGGTTGAAAGACAACGCGCTGGCGTTCTTTGCAAACTATACACGACGCGCAGTGATGGGACGCTCATAATTTTTTAAACACAAGCAGGTCAATCATACTTTTTGCTTCAATGTTAATTGCATGTGTAGAAGAACCGGTTATTTAAAACTTAGGAGAATAGTATTGTTGCGGCCAAAATATGCAAAAAACAGTTCTATAAGAAACTGAAGAAATTTTGAAAGTTTTAATTTAAAAGTAGGAAGAGAGAGAGAATGAGTACAGTTTTCTTGCCACATGTCGAGTTACTAAGCCAACAGGTGACAAGCACATATAGGTTATACAACTGATAGGAACTGTGAAGCTTTTGTAAAGGGGGCTAACAATCTGTTGTATTATCGCGTACAGAACGTTTAAAACTTTTACGTCCTCTGAATTAGCTAAAAAGTACATTTCCACTTTCCATGCAGTCAAATGTCGCATAACAATTTCAGGAGCACAAATGATGAAAACCGCGCCTTTCATTATTTTTTCATGAACTTTACTCGCCTTCGATCGCAGTTCTTGTAAAGTACTTAATTCACAAAAAGATTAAGATATATTAGGAGTTGGTGTCGATTCAACTAAAATCGTATAAATTTTGGTTGAAAGGGAAACATTGATGATAACACATAAATATTCTGGTATACGCTTCAGTTTCATGTTTACGTTATGATAAGGGTTGGCAAAAAAAAACAACAAAGCTAGCGTTGAACATTCAAACATATTGCTGTGTTTAGTCAAATCAGATATATATCTGCTTTAGATTGTCAAAAATTACGAAAACATCGGTGATTGGTTTAAAAATGATGTTTCATTTTATGAAGATGTAGCCTACGAAAACAAATTAAGGTATACAAGCACGCGTTTTGTTTTGAATTTTTAGCGTCCAAACAAACTTGTGGCACTTATTCCGACTGCCTTTGCCAACAGTGCTAGTGTAGGCCCTGTTATTGCATTGTAAAGAAATCCGCTAATATTATCCACCATGGGTGATGAAACCGAAGACATTTTAGAGAAGGTGGCCAATCTTACAGAAAGGCTTCATGAAGATAAAGATTTTAGGAGTACAGTAGCTACAAGACTATACGAATTGGGTTATATAGAAGCCCAGAACGTGAATAACGATGGCGCTGGAGGAAACATTCCTAAATTTAACACTGAACAAGTACACTATCTATTTGTTAAAGCTGTGAACATGTCCATGACGTATACAGTTGACCTGCGTAAAGATGATCCCTTATTAATGCAAAAATTGAAGAAGCTCCTAGTAGACACTTTGCCATCATATATCCGAAAGAGACAGATCGAACATTACTTGAAAAATACACTACCTGACCGCAGCATTCAGAATAATCTTAAATCTCCTCTTGATTTTCTAAAAGAAGGCTGTATAAAGCCATCAGCTACGCAAACGTTCTTCATACAACTCATCGAATGTCAGTTTCACATGAAATGGAACACTACCACTGCAGAAGCTGGAATATCTGGACGTCCAGTCCCTTTCAACTATTACGAGTTCTGTAATGAAGAAAAGAAGATATGGCCGAGAACTGAATTAAAATCACTGAACAATCGGGTGCGTAGAACACACGTCTTAGTGCAGTTATTTCAGATGCCCGTTGCAGTCTTATCGCAGGAATTGAGTTCAGATGATTTATGTCCTTCGGTTTATATCAGAACGGATAAAAAAAAGTGGAAGAATTGGAATCCGACAAGCAAGAAGTTTGGTGAAACCATAAACCTGGGTGAAGGAACGAATCCTTTCCCATGGATGAATAATTCTATACGCAATTATATTCTTGACCAGGCTCAAATAATTCCTGATGCTGACTGTAAAGCGTGTCTTGACAGGTACACTCTTTATTGGGCAGTTATACACGACTCTGATTTCCAAACTGGCGACAAATTAAAACTGAACAACATTGGACGAACACAAGTCTATGTTGGGAAAGCTAACAAAGGTATCAATGGACGATGGTTATTAGGCCACTGTAAAAACATGATGGAATGTCTAAAAGATGTACGCAGAATGAAAAAAGTTGGTGCGTACCAGCCGCTGAAAGACGTCCAGTTGGTTGAAGCCAGACTAGTGCTGGCCAAACTGAGAGCTAATGAGAAAAGCGCTCTGTTTGTGATGAAGACATTTGACCATGATATAGAGGAAGCTACGAACGCTTTTAATTTAGCACAAGAAACATACGACGCAGAGGAAATACCACAAAACAAAAGGAGGTTAGATAAAGCGAAAGAAGATCTAGAGATTGCGGAGAAAAAAGCAGAAAAAGATCTCATAGAAGCAGAGAGCCGAAACATCCAAGGTATGAGGATTCGGAAATTCAAACGCAAAGAGAGTAATTACATTATTCAGGACGAAATTTGCAGAGTCCGTCCCCGATGGCAACCTCTAGATATGAGGTATGGGATGAACAGCAGAAAATGAGGTGGCTTTTCGTAAAGCAGACCATTATCACACCGACAGTGATGCACTCCATACACAGCATGGAGAGAACAAAATAAAATAGAACAGTGAAGTAAAAGTATAGCTGTTGTAAAGTATTATGTTGTTTTGTTTTTCCGTTTTATTTGAAAAAAGTATTGACAATAAACTGTACAGGGTTTGCCTCAAAAGAAACAAGCGCTCATCTGGTGGACACACACCAAGTAAATAGTTCAACTGTGGTATTATAAGCAAATATAAGTTAGAAATAGTCAAACTAGTATCAAAATATTGCTTTCTCGTTTCAATAAACGCTTTAAAGGTTTGGACATTAAAGTGACTCAGGGTTCGGATCCCCCCTTTCTTCAGGAACAATTTTGTAATTCTTCCCAAATTGAGGAAAAACTGAGAAACATAACCTGTTCAATGTTTTCATTTATGACATAAAATATACCAAATCTGTGGCTTTCAGAGCATAGAGCGTGCCTAAAATGCATGAAATAGCGTTTAGCAGACCTAAAAATTTTCTGGGCGACCATGCCCCCAGCCGACCGGACGAGTAGACACCCC